TAGTACTGTGCCTTAGTCACCACACCACAGTATGGGAAATCCTTGACTTGCGACTGGTTGCTTAGTGACCACTTGAAATTATGGCCAACCAAAACCAGGGAATTATGATCTGAATCTGAAGTTCTGATGATTCCCCCAGCCAGTCATGTAGCAACATGTCTGCATTTGCGATTATTTGCAGCATCCGTGTTCATGTGACCATGTTTTACAAGAGTTTTGCCAGAAATAGGCATCTCCTGTTTGGTTCACTTTATGACTGCAGCATTTACCTTTTGACCATGGCATTTGGCTTACGACTGCCATAAAAAAGGTTGTAAAATCAGTTCAGTCATGTGACTGTAGCTCTCTTATTCATCTAGACCAGGGGTGTCAAACTCACAGCCCGTGGGCCAGATGTGTCACATGCTGGCCACGCCTACCCATTTTAGCGGAGGGGGGAAAAGTCACAATACATCACATAACGACAACATGACGCCACGAGTTTGACACCCCTGATCTAGACCTAGTTTATATTTTATTCACTTAGACCCAATTTGTTGGGGCTCTTTCCATTAATTATCCTTTTTTCGGTCAGTTCTAGTATCCCATTTTATTTTAGGTATTAATCTTATATCCCACTAAGGCTAAAGCTAACCAAGAAAGTTGATATAACAGGCTTTTCTTTTAAATTTGATGGACAGACAGGGGGAAAAAATGAAACTTTTTTCCTCACTATACAATATGTCAACAGCAGCAAGACTTCTTTATGTGCACAGATGGACCCACAAATGGAAGAATGGATGCTGAGATTAATGGAGTTGGCAGAGATGGCGAAATTGAACGCCCTGATTGAAGAAAAGACTTTCTCTAACTTTGTTTCTATTTGGAAACCACTTATGGATTTTTGTTTGCTTGAAATGAAACTTTAACCTTGGGATTTGATGATTAGATTTATTTATGATTATAGCAGTACTGTGTGTTATGACTTATTGTAACTCAAAGGATCATTGCATTTTATGTGTGTATCTGTACCGAAAAAAGTCAAAAGTTATTATCTTCTGTACAACTTTTTTTTCCTTCTTGTTTTCATCCCCAGTTTTCCTTTTTCATGGTCCCTCCCTTGTTTCACTCTATTTTTTTCTTTGCTTTTTTGTATTTTATGGGGCGGTTGGAACTTTAATAAAATTGCACGTAAAAATAATACCAGAGGTATCTATTTCTATAAAATGAAAAGTCGTGGAATAGAATGATTTTAAAATGTCAGTAATAAATAGTGCATATGACATAATAAGGGTTATTCACAGAGGGTCCCTAGCATTCCTCCAACCATTTTATGAGACTATTCATTTCTTTTGGAAAAATAATGCAAAAAAACAATTGTCTTATATTTTGAAGACCTAAGGGTTTTTTAAGGACTGCAAGTTTAGTGGCTTGGAATGAATTCTCTTGATTCTCAAATGCTGCCCAAAAGTGGTTCTGTGTGATGAAGAACAGAAGTTGGAATTCCTACAAAATGTCATTCTGATCACCAAAGATGGACTTGATAGAGAAGAATGTCATTTCTAACTAGAAGGCATTGCACAGAATTCTTTTGCGTCCAGTGAAGAAAATCTTTTTTTTCAATCATATATGCTTCCCTTGGTGAATTTGTGAGAATAAGAGAATGAACTTTTCTCTCTTTCTGCTTACTCTGAAATAGTCGGTTCCCCATAGGCTGCTTTGGTGTAACATATAACTCAACCATGGAAAGTTATTTTGCTTAAGGGGGTCCCATATTTTACTGTACATGCATAGACCTGAGCATGATGGATTTGAGGAGTCCTGAGTCACCAATGAATCTTGTTCTCCTCAAGATCCTGAGCCATCATGGTAAACCTCACTAGAGTAACCTATATTATTCCTCTCCTCCCATCCTTTTTCCCTGTGTATCATATCATTCATCCAGTGTTCCATTCTGCTGTTGTAATGATGAAAAAAGGGAGTTCTTGAGTGCTAGCCCAGGAGAAGCAGGGCAATCTCAGAAATCAGAGGATTTGCACTGCTAATGCTACCTAGTGCCGAGTCCCTACACTTGGATTCATCCAGTGCATGCACAGTCAGCTGGGAGAGAGAAAGCAATCCAAGGTGGTACCACCCAGTGTCTAATCCAAGGGTCTTCAAACTTGGCAAGTTTAAGATTTGTGGACTTCAACTCCCAGAATTCCTGAGCTAACATAACTGGAGGAGGAATTCTGGGAGTTGAAGTCCACAAGTGTTAAAGCTGTCAAGTTTGAAGACCCCTGGTCTAATCCTTTGGAAGTTTGATGCATGCCGAAATGCTTGCAGACAGTACTACTTGCCACCTTCTCTTTGCCCACTGCTTCTGGAAACTCCTCTGGCTCATGGGTTGGCTTTAACCTGGAAAGGATTCTCTGATTCAGGTCTCTCAGGCTTTGATCTTGGCTGCCACAGGGCCCCTAAGTTACAGGTTATCTTTGGTGTGCTGATCAGCCAAGCTTTTGATTGAATGAATGAATGAATTTGGCAGCATTTCCTTCTGCCCTAGCACTAGAGTATATGCAGCTCTCATTGCCTCTTACTCTTTATTATGTTGTGTTTTATTTTATTCCATGTTCTTTGGTTCTGACTCCCCAAAAAAGAAAAAAAAAGTCACTGTGTCTTCCCTGAAGACAAGCAGAAAGCTAAGCCAAAGACAGGTGGGGCAGGAAAAGTCTTAAGTCTTGCTTTGTAGCTAGAAGAGATGTTAATCTTTTCTTTAAGCTCAATCCTTGGTGATGGAGAAGCATTGTTCCCTATGGGACAATACTTATTTTTTAAATGACAAAATGGTAAGAAGGAACCAAACCACTGGTTGGAACACAAGTTTCTTTTTTTCTGAGTTCCATTTCTGACTGACTTTCTTTTTTCCTCAATGGGGAACTTTTTTACAGTCCAGAAAAGCATCCTTCCTTCACACTAGGCACATATTGATTTAATGATCCCCACATCACATGTGCACAATGTAAGATTCATTTTCTTTCATTCTTCTTGGCCTTGCAGCTCTGAAACTCTTCAACCATGTTTGTTCTTGGACTCCTGTTGCTTCTTGTTTTGCACAGCGAAGCCTTCAGCACCAATTTTCCTGATGAAACCATTGCAGAATTTTCTGTGAATGTTTACAATCAGCTGCGAGCTACAGGAGAAGATGAAAACATTATTTTCTCCCCACTGGGAATAGCAATAACGATGGGGATGGTGGAGCTCGGTGCTCATGGTTCCACCCTGAAAGAAATTCAGCACTCCATGGGCTATGAAGGTTTGAAAAATGGTAATATGCTTCCATAATACTTTTCAAGTCAATTAAAAAATAAGTCTAGGTACTTAATGTTTATGATGCATCTAATAAAAAGACAATATTTAGCTCAGGGTTGAACTATGGAATTCTTGGTGTTCTTTGAATTTGCTGAGGTTTCATTATCCAACTAGTAATATCAACAGTTAACTGATGATATTATCTACCAGTCTCTTTTCATGACCTTGTAATCACTTAATTCAGGGTAGAGTCAGGGCAACTGGATGGAGCTGAGCATTTATTGGCCGGGTGCCTTTCCTGACACCACATGGAGTTTGCAGCAAATATTTTTTCTTTGTGCTTTAGGAGAAAAACATCTACCTCTATCTAGGATTGAACTCTCAACTTTCTGAATGGGAGGCAAACTTCTTCACCACTAGGCACTCCACAACTCTCTTTTGATGGTATATATACTGATGATATCACCTACTACAGTAATGAGATGTCTGCAAATAAACAGTCAAGCTCAGAAAGCACCAAGGACTTCATAAATGATGATTCTGTATAATTAAATATAATTGAACTTTATCTGTCTATCAGTCATATCTTTAATAGGCAACTGCTTTGTTCTCATTATTGTTGTTGTTTTGTTGTTGTTATCAAGATTCTGAACAGGAGTGATGTTCTGTTGATTTAGGTGAATCTTCATCTAAAAAGGCTAGAAATGTGATCTTTTGTATAGGAAGATGAGACCCTAATATTAAAAGGGAAAATGATGTTTAGTTTAATATATGTTCTGTGTCAGTCTTCTGTTCGACTATGTTGCATCTGTTGACATAAGCTGTTAGCTTGGACACAGAGCACATCTGACCCAGCAAATTACAGACATCCTCAATTCATATTCATAAACAGGTCTTGTTTACATACTTAGGAGGTCAGACACAATTCTCTTTTTCCATTGAAAATAGAGAAGTTTAGTCATATGATGTCCCGAGGCAAAGCCAAAGGAAAAAAATTGGGATACTGGATCTAAAAAAAGGAAAAGAACTGACATAATTCTCATAAGCATTTGATTGAAGGTTGGAATAGACAACTGGAAAATTCCAGAAAATCAAGCAAAGGAATTTTGTTCTGAAAAGGAAATGCAAACAAATTTAATAAGAAGATTGTATTATAATTTTGATCATCATTTGTCCTACATTCATATTCAGTAAATAGCCTTGAGGAGAGAGGGAAATAAGAATTGACAGTGCCATATAAAATCAAAAGTTTTATTTTAAACACACACACACACTTTTACACAGAAAATGTAACTCAGGTCACACACCAGGAATAGGGGACACACACCAGGAATAGGGGAGGGTGCCCATTGAGTAGTTAATATTATAAAAATCCAGTGTTTTCATCTAGTATAAACATCATTAGTATAACTTTTCAAGAAAAATTTAAAGGAGCTAAGTAGAAATTTGTAGAATAATATAGCAAATTTTAAACAGCTGGAAGAGCCAAATAAATATTTATCATAAGTGGTTGGAAAGTTCCCATTAAAAGCAGGAAACCCAAAGGCAGATAAGTATGTTTATAAAAACTGATGATTGTCAGATGAAGCACATTGCTTCTATTAGCTAGTCATTCTTTCGCTTGTGGAGCGATACTTTGCCTATACATTTCTGTAAGAAAATGAGGTGAGAAAAAGGAAAATACAGAAATAGGGATCACAATGAGAAAACATGATTGTCGACTTGTAATAATATAAAACTATCCTAAATTACAACTATTTATTTCTGGTGAATTCACCTTATATTATTTTTTTGAAATTATTGCTTTACTTAAATAGGTTAAAGGTTAGTGATGGGGGGAAATTAGCACTCATGAAAATTTTTAAAAAGCAATATAAATAAAAGGCATCTAGAGAGGTTTTTTTCCCAAGTCCCACCACCCAGTGAAAAATGAAGGCGCCACAGTTAACTGTGGGCAGTTAATAATTTTAAATATATATACCGTATTTATCGGCGTATAACACGCACAGGCGTATAACACGCATCTTCATTTTAAGAGGGAAATTTCACCCCCACTCCCACCCCGCGCGCGCGCTTCAATCCACAGTGTCCCATTCTGCCTGCCTGCCTGCCTGCCTTAGTTTCTGGTTGTTTGGGAGCAGCTTCGGCTGAGAATAATAACTATTCGCCTCTTTTACTCAGCCGAAGCTGTTCCGATTCAACCATTAACGAAGGCAGGCAGGCAGGCAGAACGGAGCACTGCGGGCGGGCGGACGGGGTGGGGGTGGGGGAGAAACGGGCGCTTCGGCGACAGGAAAAGCCCCCCCCCCTGCTTCTTTGAAGCAGTTTCTTCCTGTGCTGGTGGAGGAGCGAGAGAGCGACTGAGAGAGCTGACCCAGAGAGAAGGACAGGCTTCGGTTGCTTCCTCCCTCCCCTTCTTTCATTTGTGTCCTTGATCCCCGATCCCAGCAGCATTCACCGAAGGCTTCTTAACATTATATCGGCGTATAACACGCATACATCATTTGCCCCCTATTTTCAGGGGGAAAAAAGTGCGTGTTATACGCCGATAAATACGGTATATGTATATATATATGTGTGTGTGTGTGTGTGTTTTCTTAAGTTTTCGTGGGTACTTACATGTATGGTATTCAGCTTTGTTCGGGTATTTTCCCACGTCATTTATTAGCACAACTACAATGACGTGGGAAAATACCCGAACAAAGCTGAATACCATATATATAAGCCGCACCGCAGCTGCATCACTACGCGCTTCAAACCCCTCCGACCCATACATGAAGCGAACTGACGCCCACCATGAAGATGCGGCACGACCACGAACGCGAAGCCAAACAGCAGGATCACAGCTCACCAGCTCAAATCCCCCAGCAACTAAGACTAACCTGAGCACAACCAAGCCCCCACCTGAACAGAACACACCCCCAGCCAATCAGAACACAGCCAACCCCCCAACAAATCAGAACACAGCCAAACCCCCAACCAATGAGAACACACCCCCACCCAATCAGAACACAGTCAAGCCCCCACCCAATCAAGTCACACCCCCACTAGCAGTTAAAAGGAAGAAGCAGCTGCAAGCTCACATTACTCTGAGAAGCACAGAGCCAAAGACACAAGCCTGAAGATGATGAATAAGAGTTCATCGAAACGTTGCCTAGATACTTCCAATTTTACGCGGGAGAAAACCCGAATAACCAAAGAGATAGATATAGGTATAGGTATAGATATAGATATAGATACAGATATAAATTATAATTATATGGGTTGTTTTTTTTGAAGGACAAGGTAAAGGGCCTATCAGCATCTCTTAAGTAATGCTATCAGCCGTTAACATCTCAATAGCTGTTGTGTCCTATTGTATTTCAGGCCTCTGTGAATGACCAGTGGGTAAAAGCTTATTCCTTCTAATTTAATACACACCAATTGAAAAGGACACAGACATTGAACTAGCCAATATGAGAACATAATGGTAGCCTAGATAAAGTTTTGAGTCTGGTACACTAATATTCCAGGGACTGAGTAATCGCACGTTAAACTCAATGGTTTGTAGTGAGGATTTTAGCTGTATTTAGAACAGACTAAGTCAGTATTCTCTAAACATAACTTGAGGCCTGTTTGTGTAGAGAACATCACATGTGTAGAGAACATTCTGCAGGGAGAACTCACTTCTATCCTGTGAGGAAAAAGTAAGCACCTCTTTCCTTTTTTTTCCTACTCAGGTGAATGCCTTTGCTTCTTTAATGGCATCTAAACTTTGAATAAACAACTCTTAAGAGCTGAAGGAAATAATTGAAAGTCAAGAAGTATTTTTTTCATCTTTCCTGACAAGAAAATAATTTGATTCAGGCTGGGAGGGAATTATGTGATAAGGTTTTGCCCTATTTCAGAAAGTCAGTTCAATTTTAGGAAATCAGGATCCAATTTGATTCCCCCAAATTTTGGTGCATGTACACTTAAGGGCTGATTAAAGATGCACCAGGAGTGGGTCATAGGGAACCATGAAACTCCTTTTTGCATCTCTAAAATACACAATTTTTGACCATTTAAAGATAGAAAGCAGACGAGAACAGTTTCATATCACATATATGTTATGTGGCCCCAATAACCTCTTTGTTGTCAGTATCCCAAATACATTACCTGCTATCCTTGTTCCATGGTGACCCCCACCATAGTGCATTTCAAACTAAATAGCCATTATCCAATATCCAAATCTTGGATTTGAAAAAAGAAGTTGAGAGTTAAGAATACTGATTGCATGAAAAACAAACCCTAATATTGTCTTCTAAACCCAACCCAGTCTAATAACATTCACTTGCCATGAATGTTTGCCTGCTGAAAATTAAAAGAGATGTCTGTAGTGGTTTATATCACATGGAATTTGTGTTGGAGGAAAGGGTGAATGAGACAAATTAAAAGAACTCTAGCTAAAGGGAAAGTGACATGGCCAGTTGATACCACCATCATGTCTTCTTGAATGCAAAGAATATTAATAATCAGGATGTTGGCACTACAGCTATAGGCAGGCTGCAGAATGTACCCTCAACTGAGTGGTAGAAACTGCTTTCAGCTTTAAAGGTCTTGGAAAGGAAGGAGGAAAGTCATGGTGCACTTAATGGCCACTTCCTGACAATACAACTTGAAGTGGAATTTTGCCCGTAAAGCTCTTTGGAGGTTTTGTCTTCCTTGTTACTTCTCATTTTTCTTCAAGAAAGGTTAATTATATGAAGTATTTCTTAGTAACTGACTTCACTGAAATATCAGTGCTCATTAATCCTTTTTCCCTAGGAAGACAGTGAGATATGTTAAGCTCTCAATATATTTGCCAGTTCTGTCAGACCAGTTTTAATCTCTTTCTCTAATTTCAGGTGAAGAATTTGCCTTCTTAAAAGATCTTTCTGACATGGCTGCTACTGAGGATAGCCATTACGTGATGAAGCTTGCCAATTCCCTTTATGTGCAAAATGGATATCATGTTAACGATAAATTTTTGCAGCTGCTGAAAAAATACTTTAAAGCTGAAGTTGAAGTTGTGGATTTTCGTCAAAATATAGCTGTTGCGAGCTACATCAATAAATGGGTGGAGAACCACACCAACAGTAGGTTCCTAATTATTTTCCAATTCTCAATGTTGTGGGTTGTCATTGCATTCCATTTATGACCATACAGTGTTTGTACATACACACTCTGAATTAGGAAAGTAGACCCCTTCACTTTTGTCAATTTTGTTATGCTGCAGCTTGATACACACACACACATACAACTTTACTGTGTTGGAATATGTATGTGTATGTATTTGTGTGTGTGTATGTGTATGTGTGTAGACCTACCCAAATACCTAGGATTGGTACTGTATGTATGTACACACAGAGACACATCATCACCATCATTTTAACCATTGTCTATCCACTGCAGGATGAAGGCCTCTTCTGCGTGTTCCCAAGCAATACAGTTCTGAGCTTTCTTTTGCCAATTGGGCCTACAATACTTGCTGATGTCATCCATCCATCTTGTTGTAGGTCTCTCTTCGTGGATGCATGTATCTTTCCATGTCTCTTTGCGCCACTCTTACCTTTTGTATCGATTGTGAGATTAATGTTCATGTTTCACTGACATAGGTTAGAGCAGATAACACACACTGATCAAAAACTTTTAACTTCAGGCATAGGGGAGGTTGTTCTTGAAAATTATGCTTAGCTTGCCTGCCAACTACATATAACATGCCTTTCAATTCCATTGACATCCATTGGCCTTTCAATTCCATTGACCCATTGGGGTATATAGTGGTCTATTAATTATGTCCAGTTCTTCTCGAGATATAAAATTGAAATGTTTGGAGTAACCCTATGTGTGTATGCATCAGCGTGTGTGTGTGTGTGCCATACACGCACACACACACCAGAGGTGGTATTCATCAGGTGGTTCTTCTTTGAGTAGTTCAGAGAACCGGCAAATACCTTTCCTCTGAAGTGGGGTGGGAATGGAGATTTTACAGTATCCTTTCTCTGCCACGCCCACTAAGATATGCCCACAGAACCAGGAGTAAAAGTTTTTGAATCCCACCACTGCTATACACACACACACACACCGACACATACACATAAACACACATAGGGTTACTCCAAACATTTTAATTTTGTAAAATCCAGTGTTTGGGACTCATTATGAAAGAACATTGGAAGATGAGCACAATCTCCAAGACACCGGTGGGTTCTCTTCCTGTGATGAAAGGAGCACTATGCTTGAAACAGAAAGCTGCCCATATGCACAATATGGATCCTGTGAAATTTGATACAGTTATTTAATTCATTGCTGTCAGTGCAGAATTCCAAACTCAGAATTATTATGCTAAAAAGCATGTAAACCATTCCCCTTGGAAACCCCAGGTCACAGAAAATGCATTCTGATTGGAATGATTTATTTCCGAATGTGTGCACAGCAGCTGCTGCGTTAGGTTAACAAGCCTCTCAAGGCTGTAACAGATGCAATATGTCTCTTTCTTTTCCTTGAACAAATGTTGGCGAATTGGATGCTAAGATGCACACTTTCTTTATTAGCATTTTCCCAACCTTAAAGCCTAGAAAACATTGCCAAGCTATTAATAAAACTGTAAAACAATGTTACTGAAAGCTTGTTCAGTGGAACAATGCCATAAAGATGAGATGGCAGTAGGTCTGTGGAAAAACACATGGTTTACATGCACAAGTTTTCACATTCAGTTCCCAGCATTTCAAAAGTTCCTGAATTCTTGAAAAAATTACTACCTCTCTATCTTAAATAGACCAATGGCATGAATCTACATAGCCATTGTTTAAAAACCTTGAAATGTATTTTATTTCCTATAATAATAATAACCAATGATATGCTACCAGAAAGAGTGCAAATGTGGGTTTTAGAAACCACACAATTAGTGCAAACAGCATTCAGCCAAGTAAATGAATTGTATAATAGTTTGCGTAAGCAGAATCAGACCTTAGCTTTGACATCATCTGAAGAATAATCAAATTCAAGTTTTCTGCAAGTAAAAGAAGCTTTGCATTTTTAAAATAAGTCCATTATATATAGATCAGTGGCCTGTTCGGAAATAATAGCATTGGTATCTCTTCAAAAATGAAAGATGGACTGATGTTTAAAATACAGGTAATTTATATACTCTTCCCCCCTCAATTTCAATTTCTGCATTTTGGAACACATCTAAAAGATTTTAGTAAAATGTAGATCTAAATCCATAAGTACTACAGCAATATTAAGAAGAGTCTTGACAGGGTTGTTATTAATTATTTCTAGTAACTTTAATTGATTAGCATTGGATTCTAAAACATCATCAAAATGTAGATTAACATTTCATTGATGCAAAATGTTATCCAGGGTGGCTTATTTCCTAAATTTGTCATTTCATCCTTAGATTGTAGGCTTTTTTTTAAAAAAAAAAGTTATTAGTTTACTTGTTTTGTTGCAACTGTTTTTAAAAAAAATCCAATCTGCGATAGTTTGGGAGCTCATAACTCCCTTTCATGCTGTTAGTGACACAATCTGTTTATATGCATATATTTAAAAACCTATCCTCTGATTCAGTGCAGATGAGTTCTCAGCATAGTGTTTACATCTCATCTTTGATCTGAGTCATTGACTCTCAGTCTAAGAACTTCCACCTTGTAGTATTAAAGTTTGCTAAGATTAGGGAATGTGAGGCGATTCTGAACACTTTTTAAATTAGGTTTATCATAAATGTCTATGGAGATTCTCAGTCATCCAGGTCATTGTTGTCCAATGTGCTCATGAGAATTGGAAGAAGTAATTGGAAAGTTACTCCATACTCTGCTTTTCTTGTTGTTGTGAAGAGACCCTAGAGACAAAAACACATGACTTTCAAAAGCCACCTCTTTCTCTTTCAACTGTAGAACTGCCTGTTGTTATCCTGCACACTGCATTCATTGATCTTTCCCCACAGAACAGCAACTTCACATGAGAAAAACTCAGTACAACTGTGTCTTAAGAGCAAAAGGGACTTACAGATCATGTCTAATGTCACAGCTTGATGGAGGTCAAGTGCAAAAAAATATATGACCAAACTTGCTAACAATCAAGTTTTGGACTGATGGACAAAGCTCCAAAGGCAGATCTCAAAGGCTCTTGACAGTTTCCTCCACTGAATTTCTAAATAACCTTTTTCTCTTACAAGCAATGCTCAGAATGAGAAGCTAAGCCATTGGCATTCATTTGTTAAGGCCAGCAGGAGCCTTTCAAATTCTCTTGTGTCACCCAATTCCTTCTGGTTTCACTCTTGATCATTGGAAAGGGAATACAGGAAGGTTACAAAGTCTGTCCCATGTTCCATCTTTCAGTTATCCTAGCAGTTAATCCACTTTGTATTCACTGACACTTTGCTTCTCCAAAGCTGTAATTAGATTTAGTTGATTAAGTTAGTAAAACTTTCATGTCAGTGTTTTGGGACAGAAAGCCAGTGAAGTGTATCAATTGATTGAATATTCAATCAGTATTGAATCCATATGGGTACTGAGTGTTCAGTCAAGAATACAAGTTCATATCTACATTTAGCTAGTAGGTAGTTAGGAAAGGAAGGGAGGGAGGGTATTGGCCAGTTACTACCATACCCCAACCAATTTAACAAAGATATGGTTGAATGGTGAAAACTGAAAGATGAAATATAGATGCATGTCATTTGAGCTCTGGAGGAAAAGTGTGATATAAATTTAGAATGAATTAATCATGCTTAAATGGTGTAGGTTGCCTATGCTCAAAACTTGTTGACTTCCTTGCCCAAGTAGCAGTTTAAAGTGGGCATTTTTTAAATCTAGAAATTGTTTTAATTATTTGCTTGCTTAAAGTGGAGATTATCAGTCATCCAGGGCATAGTTGTCCCAAAAGGGCATCTTTGGGACAACCATAACCTGGATGACTGAGAATCTCTATAGACTTTAAGCTATATAATTAGGGATAAACATCCTTTGAATGGTGTGGGAGTAGGAATGGATTTCCAGAGGGAAATTTGTTTGCAGACTACAGGAACCATTTGCACTCCTCAGGTGACCCTGAGGACACAGATAAACCTCCAAGTGCTTCAACAACCCCATAAAAGGATGCAAATGACCAGCTGTCTGCAAGGAATATAAATCCTTCCATTCCCCACTATCCTGTCAGTGCTGAAGAAGCTTCTTGGTTGAAAAGGGAAATGTCTTCAAAAGAAAAAAACAACAAGAAAGTCCAGTTGCCTCCTGAAAAAGCACCTTTGCTTGTTTGTTTGTTTGGTTTCATTGAGCAAATTGCTTTAGTTTTTATTCTAAATTCTCGTTGGGATCTCCTGATTGATGTGCTTCTTCTCCCTTTTCATCTGACAGATATGATCAAAGATTTTGTCTCAGCAAGGGATTTCAGTGCTCTCACTCACTTGGCTATTGTCAATGCAATCTACTTTAAGGGAAATTGGAAGTCTCAGTTCAGACCAGAGAACACAAGAACCTTCTCCTTTACGAAGGATGATGAAAGTGAAGTACAAATTCCCATGATGTATCAGCAAGGAGAATTTTATTATGGTAAGGAACAAAAATGCTCATTTTCTTTCTAGCCTAAATTAAATCTTTCTTTATAAATTCTATACAACATATTTTGTTTCTCCAATCTGGTGCCAAATAACAGCGTGTCAACAGTATCTCTTAAATAAAGTATTCATTATAATGCCCCCCAAAAACTTCCATGAAGTTCAGTAATTGCTGGCTCTGATATCTGTTTTTAATCTATGGACTATAGTACAGGTAGTTCTTAACTTATGACTGTAATTGAGCCCAGAATTTTGAGTGTCATAGTGGTTGTTAAACAGGACATCCTATCCCCATTTTTACAATCTATTTGCAGTGGTTGTTAAATGAACACTGTGGTCATTAAATGTCATTAGTCATTTAATAAACCCATTTTTCCCAGTGGGTGATTTTTGCCAGAAACCAGAAACAAATGCTGAAAACCAACCCTAAAATTCTCAAAATCGTGGTCACATAACCACAGGACTCTACAAATGGATGGAAATGCAAGCCAGTTGACATCAAAACTTCTAAATCAGATCATAAGTAGCTCCCGAAGGGGTAATCATAACTATGAACTAAGCAATTAGTCATTAAGTGAGGACTACCTGTAACTTGATTCTCACTTTTCCAACAAAACAAACAGCAACTTCTATTTTAATTCTTCACTAATGATAGTACAGTGCTACCTTGGTATTCATCATTAATTGGTTCCAGGAGATCCAATGAATACTAAAAATGATGAGTACCGAACAGATTTTTCCCATAAGGAATAATATAGTGAGTCACAAAGCAGTGGACACTGACAAATTCTAGCTTTGCTTTGAAATAAATGATAAGTACGGACACAAAATTTTCCCATCAAAAAGGTGTTAAGTACTAAATTGATGACTTTCAAATTAGTTGAGTACTAATTACACCAATTTTTTCATGGTTTTTTAAATAAAATTTTATTTGGGTTTTCACAAAACAAAAGAAAAATAAAACAACTTTTTTTTAGCAAACAGCATGGTTCCAGGTTTTCACATCTCCATACAGATATAATCTCAATTACATATTCATCTTTCATATTCAATTTCATATCTTATCACTACTTTAGATATTCTCTATTGATTTTTCTCAAATATTTCCCTCAGGCTTATTTTATAGCTTTCTCATTCATTTCTAAATCTATTTCATTTCCTTTTCATATCTTCATAATAATTATACTTATACTTTTATCTGTCCTGTTTACAATTTCATTGCATATTCTTATTTCATCATTTCCCCAAAAATTCCTCCACATTTCAAACATTACAAAACAAGGTTTCCCCTATGGTTGCCAATTGGAGTGTATCACCTTCACATCTTATAATTAGTTCCCTTTCAAATCCCATTAAACATTCAACTTTTAAATTGTCCCCTTAAACAGTTATAACATTCAGCTCCTAATAACTATATTATAACATATATCCCTTTTTAGTCAGATTCCGCATGGTACTTTTTTCCATGTTTATGAAGCCTCAAAACCCTACAAAAATATTGCTTACTGCAAGTAAATTTTGTGACATTCAATGTCTGTTGGAGCTGAAATCCTTGTGTTGAAGAAGAATTCCCTATTTCCTGCACCCTCTTGCATCAGTCATGTCATACCCTTTTTCCCTCTAAAGTTCTAATGCTTTGGGCTATTACTCCTTGTTACAAGACAGGGGGAAAAACAACTTAAAACATTGCTGAATATTTCACAGCTGCAAAGGGCATGTTCTCTCCTTGTTTGGAGTAGGCTTGACAGTTGAAAGGTAACTCCAAATTCACTTTTGATGATATACCATATGGTTCCCATATATACAACCCTAAATTAATAGCTGGTTTAGGAGGCTCTTGACTGTCCAGTGACTCCAATTGAGCCCTGTAGATTATTCACATTATCTTGGATGTCTGTTTATAATCCAGCCAATGTAGAGCAATAATTTTAAGCAATCTCTCATCCTGGATTAGCAAGAGCCAAATCCGTTTGGTTTCAGAAATGGGCTCCTATTTTTCATCTACATATCATTTTAAAATTCAAATTGCTTTGAGGCACAAAAGGAAACGTTATAGCTGGATTTGGACATGAGATGCTTTTCTTCATTATCTGAAGCCAAACTTGTTATAAACTGGTTGTCTTGTTATGATTTCAAACAGCCATTTGAAGGCAGCTAGCAAACCATTGTTTGCACTAAGCGTTTCTTGACTAATGCCTGAATGTTTAGATTTGGGGGATGAACTCGCCAAAGTTATACAGTTCAATTTATAGAGAAAGAAAAATCGGCAAAAAATAATTTCCATGCTTTCTCTCCTGTGCGTTTGAAACTTCAAACTACAGTGCACATTCATGATTTTGCATTCAGTTAAGATCCAGCTTTCATGTTTAAACATATGTCAGGCTCGAAATAAAGAAGGACATATGGCAATTCTTCCAAGCTGAGATCTTTATTATTTAACACCTATAGACAAAATCTTGCCAGGGAGTATTCCACTATCTGCATCTACAATACACTTTGTAAATTGTTCAACCTCTTTCTCCCACACAAAATATTGCCTCTTACTCCTCTGGAAATGCTGGAAATCATTGCACAGACACAAACAGCATAGGATTTACCTCCTCTGAGGTCCATTAAGCCTTATCTAGTTCTCAGGAGAAGGCTGGCGGTCTGTGGAGAATCTTGTAACATAGATAGATAATTTGCTTACTCTAGCTGTTTACAAGTGATTCTGGTTGTTTGTGCCTGACAAGAATATACCCACTCCCTCCTAAGAATCCACTTCCTTACTGCATTCCATGACATCTATAATGGTAAACTGTCTATTACAGTGGTGTCAAACTTAATTTCATTGAGGGTTGAGGCTGCATCAGGGTTGTGTTTAACCTCGGGGGGCTGGGGTGGGTGTGGCAGGGGTAGGCATGGCCAGCTTTAGATCATTTGTGTGGGATGAGCCTGTGGTGGCCAGAGTGCTCTGCCAGCAAAAACAGGCTCCTGATCTCCATTTTCAGCTGAGACAGCCTTCTGCAGCCCTCTGCCAGGGAAAATGGAACTCAGGTGGGCTGCACGCATCCCCCTGGGTCACATTTTTGGCCGCAATAGCCTCCTGCAGCCTTCCCCAAGCTCCATTTTTTCAGGCAGAGGCACAGCGGGCCATTCCTTCACTGTTTCCAGGGCAGCCCCATGGGCCAGATCTAAGCACTGAGTTTGACACCCCAGGTCTATTAGGTACATCCCCAAAGCAAAGCCAACTAAAAATATGACAATGTTCTATTTTATCTTTTTTTCTTTTCCACAAAAAAATGGAGCCATATTCTCCATCGGGATGAAAAAGTCCAATTAACTCTTTTGGGTTTTTTTTTTTCCTTTTTAGGGGAATTCAGTGATGGATCCAATGAAGCAGGAGGCATCTATCAAGTCTTGGAAATACCTTATGAGGGTGATGAGTTCAGCATGATGATCATTCTCTCCAGGCAGGAAGTACCACTAGCCGCACTGGAGCCTTTGGTCAAAGCCCAGCTGATTGAGGAATGGGCAACCTCTGTGAAGAAACAAAAAGTTGAGGTGTATCTGCCAAGGTGGGAATCCACTTCTTCTTATGGTAGAAAGAGGAGAACCAGTTAGTTCCGGCTAGTAGGGAAGGTGTAAAAGAGAACAGAGAAAAAGAGAATGAGGTAGAAATGTTTGATCCATTAAGGGAATGATCTTTTGAAAGCTAGGGCTATAGTAGATATATGGTAAGAATCACATTGAGTGAGGTGATGGTATAAAATTGATGCTTTTATCATAGATGTCTCTGAGGACAAGATTTCCTATGTTTCTTGGAATTCAGTGATGGATTCAGTGAATTAGATGAATTGGAGAAGAGTGTGAGAGAATATTTTGTTAAACCTGTTCCAAGACTTATTGCGCAGTGTGGTGGTTTTCTTGCCATTAAAAGGAAAGAACATAAGCTTCTGATGTTCCAGTGTGGTCAGTATTTACTGTTCTGAAATATTGTGGCTGTGCAGCCTTCATAAGATAGATTTAACTCAGTTCCTCATGTGTAAAATGGAAATGTTATTCAGTGGAGAGTAGATGTGAGTATATATATGAGTATATATTTTCTACTAAAAAATACTTGAAGGAGCTAATAAAAATAATGAACGCATGAGTAAAGCAACTTAATAGTTTGCAATGCATGTAATAACTCACTGGACAAGAAACACATTAATGAAATGTGTTCACAAAATGGAAGTCATTCTTTAAAGATTGATTTTTTTTCCCCATCTCCTCCTCTGAGTTCTGCAACTGTTTTCCATAGCTGAGATGGAATCTGACAGGGATCTACAATACTGTCCAGTGGAAGCTTTCACATTTTCTATCCACATCCTTTGATTTGATAGGGTGGAAAGAATAAAGTTAAAAAATAAGAGGCTTAACAGAACAGTCTAACATAATCTGTTTTCAAAAATGCATGGTTTGGGAAAGCCCTATACAATTCAAC